TCAGTATTAGTATCAATATAGTATATCTAGTATAGTATTAGTATCAATATGAATATGAATATTATATTAGTATTAGTATTATTATTAGTATTAGTATTAGTATTGGTATGAGTATGATTATACGTGGTAGTATGAGAATTAGAATAAGTATTAGCATAAGTATTATTATTAGTATCAGTATTAGTATTATTATTAGTATTAGTATCGGTATTAGTATTAGTATTAATGTCAGTATTAGTATTAGTAACAATATTAGTATTACAATCAGTATTAGTATTAGTATTAGTATTAGTATTAGTATTAGTATTAGTATTAGTATCAATATAACTATAATTATCAATGTAAGTATCAATATTATTATTAGTATTAGTATCAATATGAATATTAATATTAATATTAGTTTTATTATTACTATTAGTATTAGTATTAGTATTAGTATTAGTATTAGTACCAGTATTAGTATTAGTATTAGTATTAGTATTAGTACCAGTATTAGTACCAATATTAACATTAGTATCACTATTAGTATTAACATTAGTATTAATATTAGTATTAGTATTAGTATTAGTATTAGTATTAATATTAATCGAATTAGTATCACTATTGGTAATAATATTGGTATCGGTATTGGTATCAGTACTGGTAGTGGCGTATACATCATATCTCTTTTGCAATATTTATAAGTTTTATTGTTGTTTGAGTAATGTGCATCACTAATTGAACGCCATTAGTGATAAACTTGCAGGTTATTTGAATATCTATTGTGTTACTTCTCTGCTACCATGTTTGTTGTTACCTTAGTTATTTTGCAGAAGATTCACATGGTGTAGTAGATTGCAATCCAAGAAATAGAGTTATACCATATGTTTTAAATGATTTCACTTAATCTTGATATCGTGTTTTGCGCGCTTCCATGTTTTCTTATTTGTAATGTTTAACTTAATTTCATATGTTACTGTTAGAGTATATTATATTATTAGATATTATAGGATATTAGGATTCTATTATGATTCGGTTACCTATATTAGTTAGGATTTAGTTACCTAGTCAAACTCTATTACATCAACCCAGAACACAATGGGGGTTTCTATTACGTATTATGATCTCAATGAGAGTTTCTATTACGTATTATTATTTCTCTCATTCTCCAATTCTATTCTTCCTATATGGTATCATCCATTTTGTTTTACTTGAATTGGTATTGTTATAAAGAGATAGTCGTTTACATAAGTTTATTTTTCTTATTTTTAAACTCACCTCGTGCAACGCACGGGTAAAATACTAGTACATAAGAAATTTTGTACCATTCCAGTCAATTGTGGGTCCTAAATTATGGTTATGGTTTTAACTATATTAAATGGTAATGATTATGGTTTAATATAATGGGTTTAATATAATGGTTATGGTATTTTCTTTGCGAAGAAGATAATGTCTGAGTATGAAAACAATCTCAATAGAAAATGATAGATTGGTTTTGTGTGTATCTCAATAGTCATCCAAAGTGGCTCTCGTTGCCGAAAAGACACGGTTATCACACAGCTGTGAGTGAGGGGTACATTTAAATTAATGGCCACCTAAATTTGAAATCACTTGACTTGTGAGGGGTCAACCTTTTAAACGTAGCAAATTAAATTAAAAAAATAATTCCGCGAATCATTAATTAATGAATATTAAATACATAGAGAAATTACTATTTCTCCATTTAAAAAAAAATCAAATTAAATTTCACAATAATACGATTTGGGAAAAATAAAAATATTTAAAAGACCAATTTCCTCAAAATGAATATGCACGTTAATTAGTTGTATGAACAGAAGAAAAAAAAATGAATTTTAGGAAAGATTCCATATTACTAATGGTACGGTTAGTCACTTAACCATGGTTGGAAAGAAGACTATGGTTGGAAACAAGGGAAAGTTCTCATTTCTCACCATTTGTAATTTGCTTAACTTTCCTCTCTCTCTCTCTCTCTCTCTCTCTCTAAAAAAATACACACACATCCTCAAAGAAAACAATGGCAGTAGAAGCTGTGCTAGGAGCTGCCGTTCAAGTTTTACTTCAAAATCTGGTCTTAGTTTCGGAGAAGCAAATCATAAGTCCCATTCGAAATTTCAAGAAAGATTTGAGAAAGCTAAACGATTATGTCTTAATGATTAAGGATTTCCTAGACGATGCTGACAAGCAGCATATCACCAGAGAAGCCGTCAAACGCTGGTTGAAGAAGCTTGAAGTTGTGGCTTTCGATGCAGATAATGTTTTGGATGAGATCAACTATCAACTTCTCTCCAACCAAATTCAGACAGAAAATAAAACGAAGACAAAGGTACGCGGCTTCATCCTACGTCGTATTTGCCGAATAAAAATGGCACGTAAAATCAAGGATATCAATCAAAACTTGGAAGAGATCAACCTCGAGGCAAACAAATATGGCCTTGAAAAGACAGTGGTAGGTGAGTATGCTCCGATTACTCACCTAGAAACTGATGCATTCAATATCGATCCGATTTTTCTTGGAAGAGAAGGTGACGTGTCTGAAATAGTGAAGACGATGACTACTCTTCCAAATGATCAAGTACTCTCTATCCTCCCCATTTTCGGGATGGGAGGGCTCGGAAAAACAACGGTAGCTCGGAACGTGCTTGATCATGAAGCCATAAAGGCTCATTTTTCTAAGCGTTTTTGGGTGCATGTCTCTCAAAACTTCGATGCCAAGATTCTTTTCAATAAGATTCTTACATCGTTAACCGGAACAAACGCCGGACTTGGAGATAAACAGGGAGTTCTGGAAGAGCTTCAAAAGGAGTTAGAAGCTCAAAGATTTCTACTTGTTCTCGACGATGTCTGGAATGGAAATCATGAAATATGGGGTGATTTTATCAATTCGTTGAGAAAAATTACTTCTGGTACGGGAAATGGCATCATTGTTACTACGCGAAGTGAAAATGTTGTTTCACTGGTGAAAACACTCCCTACTATGCACAAGCTAAATAACTTGTCAGAAGATGAGTGTTGGTCCATAATCAAAACAAAATCCGTTGGAGAAGGTGATATTCCATCAGAATTTCAGAGAATTGGCGTATCTATTGCAAAAAGATGCCAAGGTTTGCCATTGGCGGCCAAAGTGGTTGGGGGATTGTTGCGCGGTAAGTCGATTGATGAGTGGTTGTCGATTGATGAGAAATGGCTCTCAGATTTAAAAGATGAAAATCCAGTCTCCAAGATTTTGAAACTGAGTTTTGATCATTTGTCGCCACCATCACTCAAAAAGTGCTTTGCATATTGTTCGATATTTCCTAAAGGATATGACTTGGAAAGGGAACGCTTGGTTGAGCTTTGGATGGCAGAAGGATTCCTTGGAGGAAATGATGATATGGAAATTGTTGGCAACAAATTCTTTAATCAACTTCTAGAGAACTCCTTGTTGTTACAAGTTGTGGGGAGAAAATACTATTATGGCGGTGCCGATATAACATATTATAACATGCACGATCTTGTGCATGATCTTGCATCTTCTATTTTAAATTCAAGCGACCAAGTTCGGTACATGAGCCTGCAGTCCAGTAGTGGTGAATCGTGTACTAGCCTAACTGAACAAGCAAGTTGTATTCGTTCGTTATTGTTCAATGATAAAATATGCATGCTCGTGTTCTCGAAGTTCACATCGTTGCATGTTTTAATTCTGATGGACTATTGTGTTAAAGAGTTGCCAACTTCAATCAAAGAGCTAATGCATTTGAGATGTCTTGACATTTTAGGTTCAAGGATTAAATGTTTGCCAGACTCTGTTGGTGAACTATATCACTTGCAGACATTACGATCATGTCATACCTTGAAGAAACTGCCAAACACATTGAAGAACTTGATTGGCTTAAGACATCTCCACATTCCTCGAATTGAATTACCTCCAGGGATGCGAAGATTAACTTCTCTTCGAACACTGCCGTACTTTGGAGTGGGTGATGAAAAGGGTCGTGGAATTAGTGAGCTCGAATGCTTGAAGAACCTCGAAGGAAAGCTGGAGATCTATAATCTTGAGAAGGTGCATGACAAAGAAGAGGCTAAGAGAGCAGATTTATTACGAAAGCCAAACATAGTCAAGTTAAAGCTTACATGGGATGAAGATAGAGAAGGTGGAAATGGCGATGAGAGTGTGTTGGAAGGCCTCCAACCCCACCCAAATTTAGAGAGCTTAAATATTTGTGGATTTGGAGGAAAAAGCTTGCCAGCATGGTGTTCAAATATGTCGGGGCTTTATAAATTGATGAAGATAAGACTTGAAAGATGCAAAGAATGTGAACAAGTCCCAATGCTAGGGCACTTGCCACATTTGAAGAATCTTTATCTGGATGGTCTGGTGAATGTGAGATCCATAGGTTCCTCATTTTACGGAGTTGATGACAAATGTGTTTCCTTTCCGGCACTTGAAAGGCTGGAGTTGAGGGGAATGTCAGAGCTGACGAAGTGGTTAGAAGCTGAATTGCCAAGTGCAACACCTGAAAATGATCAACTACTTGTTGTATTTCCTCGCCTCGAGTACTTGCGGATTAAAGATTGCAGGCAATTGAAGAGTGCTCCGAGTCACTTTCCATGCCTTAAAGAATTGGAGATTGGTGAGGTGGATAGCGAATTACCTTTGGCAAGTATATGTGAGATCAACTTAATCTCTCTTACAAAGCTCCAAATTGAGTCAATTGATGGATTGACGTGTCTCCCACATTGGCTTTTCCTTAAAAATCAAAATCTCTCAAACTTGGAGATAAGTGGTTGTCGCAACTTAACGCATCTAGTTCCGTGCTTGGAAGGTGGAGGAACTTCTCTTAGGAAGTTGGAGATACGGAATTGTCCGGAATTGAGAGATTTACCAGATGATCTACACACCCTCAGTGCTCTCGAGAATTTGGCGATTTACAGATGCTCAAAACTGAAGACAATACCATATCCACATGAAACACATAATGATGATGATGATGATGATGATCAATTATTATTAGGCTTGAGTAGCCTTCGTTATTTGAGTATTACTACGTGCGGAGGCCTGACCAATTTGTCGAGTGAAATGATAGAGTCATGTGCGCAGTCCCTGGAGAGTTTGAGACTGAGTGGATTAATGAATTTAAGGATGAACATGGAAACGATAATTGGGTATTGTATGCAAAAAATGCCTTGTCTCTCTGAGTTGATAATTTTTGATGTTCCAACCACTAAGAATTCCTGGGAGATTGTTGGTTCTTTTTCTCCTGGCAACTTGAGAGATTTATCAATCAGTTGTGATGAGTACTCAGTTTCAGTTGTTGATGCCATCTTGAAAGCAACAACCAAATCTCTTCATGTATTAACATTGCACGGGACAAAGCATAGTCGTGAACTACCGGGTCAGCTTCAACATCTCACTGCTCTTTCTGAGTTATACTTGTATGATTTTGTAGAGATGGAAGAATTGCCTGATTGGGTAATTGGGAATAACAACAACAACGTATTCTCATCTCCGAAACTATTATCTCTATCCGGCTGCAACAAGTTGCGATGTCTGCCGTCTAAGGAAGCCATGCTACGTCTCACCAAGTTATACATCTTGGATTGTCCGATGTTACATATAAAAGGTCGAGATGGCGATGATGGTTCTGAGTGGCCCAAGATATCCCATATCCCCTTTGTCTATGTGGATTGGGTTCAAATTCCAACTCATGCTCAGTAAATGTAAGTATACTTATTACTGCATTATTGGATTTACCAAATTATTTTCTTTTATTTCCTTTTATTTTTCTATTGTATTTATTTTTCTTTTTGTTCCTGCAGCCTCCAAATTAAATTTATTGCTTAAACAGAATAGGTCGCTCAAGGCACACATATATATAAATCTATTCCAAATTTATTTCAGTACATATTGATTTTCTTTTTATCTCATAGATTTAATTCGACACCTCTCCAGCAAAGTTTACTTTAGGATTTGGTGCCAAACCAAGATAAGAAGGGAGAGAGCGCAATTTTTTGTAAAGGAGAGAGAGATCACATTAAAATGTGGAGTAAATTGCAAATACTACCCCTGTGTTATCTCGAAATAGCGAAAACTCCCCTGTGATAAATAAACTAGCAAAAACCCCCCTGTGAAATTTAGTCAAAGGCAGAATCCCCCCTAGCTGATTTTTTAGACTTGAAATGACAAAATTGTCCCTCAAAATGTATTTATATATATACATATTATATGTATATTTATTCTTTTTAATTTGTTTGTTTAGAAATTAAAAAAAATAGTAAACAACTAAATTGATTATTTTTTAAATAAAATAATTAAAATATTTATAAAATATAAGAATTTATTAATTGCAAGACTCCAGGGGTATTTGTGTCTTTTTATATCAAGTCAACCCTCAAATAGTTCCATAGGGGGGTTTTTGCTATTTAAATAATTTCACAGGGGAGGTGTTTGCTAGTTTATTTATCACAGGGGGGTTTTTGCTATTTCAAGATTACACAGGGGTAGTTTTTGCAGTTTACTCTTAAAATGTGAGTATACTTATTTCTTCTTCTTCTTTCTTGGATTTACCACATTTTATTTGGTTTACATATTCATTCTTCCTCTTTTTTACTATTTTCTTTAAAAATGTGGTCATTTTGTAATTTCTCATTTTTTGATGAGTTATTAACCGAAATTGAGCATTTTTTTTTGCATATTGTCTCTTCAAATATTATTTTTGTTGTACGTTGCCGAAACCGAAACTCGTAGCCATTCTAATATTTATTTAGCTTTCCGCATTAAGCAAAGAATCCTATTGAACATGACCTAATTAAGTCTAATTCAACTTATTATATCTATCATAATAAATTTGAATTTGAAAAGGAACCAATCCACTTTAATTTCTCCAGATTAAAAATGTGAGTATATATACTTATTTCTATTATGTAACCTATGGTGGATGTCTATAGGAGTTACAAAATCATTAGTGTGTGTAATTAGAGGTGATAATGGTGGATGTTAAGGCCATTCATTCCCTTGTAACTCATGACCTTTTGAATGGTCTTCTTGTACTATAAAAGGGACACCATTGTATGAAGTTGGGACACACTTGAATAAGAATACAATACATACACACACTTGCTCTCTTCTTGTCTTTCCCTTGTTTTAAAACAATTTCTTCTTCTTCTTCTTTCTTGGATTTACCACATTTTATTTGGTTTATATATTCATTGCACCTCTTTTTTACTATTTCTTTGTAAATGTGGTTAGTTTGTAATTTCTCATTTTTTTCTTAGAGTTCATGTATACAAGTATATATGCATGTCACCTTATTAATTTCAGAACAGATTATGTATGTCAAACTATGTATCTATCAAATCTCAAAAAAAATAAAAAAAAATTTGTGGCTTGCGTCGTGAACTATTTTTCTCGTTGTCTTGATTTTTTTATTATCTTATTTTTTGTTTTTTATTTTTTTAGTAATTATTTAAACTGGAAGGGGTGGTTTTTTTGTAATTTTCATACTTGGATCAAACAGTGTTAAGGTCAAAGGTCTGAAAACTAACGACGAGGGTCACATTGATACAATTTTTCAAGTACAGAGGGGCAAATCAATACAATTGAGAGTAGAAGGAAACAGGGGCGGAGCTATGTTGACTTCTGGGTGGGGTGAAGCCCACCCTAGTTTATTTTTTTATGCAATTTTTTAATGCTAATCATGTTTAGTTAATTCTTTCATATGCTATTTTAATCCTAATTCAAATTAATTAGCCCATCCAAGAAAAAATGTAATGTAGTTTAAATAGTTCCAATAATTATATTTGGGACAATATACAATTTAATTTAAATAATTTAATAAAACTATACAAATTTCTATTTATTTTGCTTTATATTTTCGAAAAAAAACTCTAAAAAAATTTCAGGGGCTCTACTCCCGAACCCTCGTAAAACTTTAGCCCATCCTTGCCAAAAACTTTAGCTCACCCTTGCCGAGAATCCTGGCTCCGCCAATGAAAGGAAGTAAAGTGATATCGAGCCAAAGTACAAGGGCAGAAAGTGAAATTTACCCTTTTTTTTTTGTAATGAATGAACCCGTAGTCAACTATACAGGAGCTGATGCATAGTTTCAGTAATATACCAAGAAATTCTCTTCATACATATTTGATGGCCGACTCTGATAGCGGAACCAAATGTAATATGAAATGATTAAATTTTGATTTTGATGCTAAAAACTCAAAATCTCAACTCCATAATTTTCCATCACGGTGGGCTTAAAACCTACAAGTATACAGGGTTTTGGGGTGGTGGGTGGGTGTTGGGGGGGGTGGGGGGTGGGGGGTGGGGGGCCTCCAATTTTTTTGATATAAAGTAAAAACATATTTATTTTATTTAATTCAAATGTTATAAGTTAGGGTAAATTACACCTACACACCTGAGGTATACTAAAATAGCTTTAAGGCTCTTTTGGTATTCGTAATTACAGCCACACTCCTGAAAAAATTACCGGAGCGAAGATTTCATGTCTTGGAGACCCATATGCACTATATTTGTTTTTCCCTTGGGCCGTTATTGCAACGATAGACGAAATTATAAATCTTATGTAAAATAATAAGGATTTAAGAAATGTTAGGGGAAACATGTCACCCCCTAGCTCTATATTGTCTCTACCGCTTCCTAAAAGTAATAGTCCATTAATACCCTAACGAAATAACTTATCCAATGCATTATTCTGTTAGAGTTTCTAACAATGTTTCAGGGAGTTCATTGTAATTACCGATACCACAGGAACCTTAAAATTATTTTAGCATACCTCAGGGGTGTAGGTGTAATTTACTCTCTATAAATTAAACTCTTAAAAATGCATAACCTACAATATGATTATGTAAATACTTACAAATTACTTCCAATTGACGGTGTAAACAACTTATAAACTACACTTTTTCCTTTCGTATTTTATTGAGAAAATTATAGTTTTGATCCCTCAAGTTTGCATCGATTTTACATTTGGTCCCCATATTCACAAAAAACACATTTGATCTCTCGTGTTTCAATAATATAACACTATCGGTCTTTTTCTTAAATTTACTATTAGTTCGTCAGTACGAAGGCAATCATTGGCACACACTTGATTCGGTTAGTACTAACGGAAAATTGACGGGAAAGACTAAAAATGTTGAATTTTTGAAACATGAGGGACCAACTGTGGAATTGGTATAAACTTGAGGGATGAAAACTATAGTTTTTCCTATTTTTATTTTGTGAAGAAACAAAATTCATGAGGTTGGCTAATCAGTTTAAATTGGGTTGGCTAATTTAAAAAGGATATTATATATTGTATGAAAAATCAAAAGCTCCTTCTAGGGTAAATTACGGCCACCCCTGAGTTATGGTCAAATTACAAAAATCCCCCTCCTGTTTGGGTAATTACAGCCACCTCCCTTAACTATGTATTATCTTACGAAAAAGACCCCTATAGAGGTAAAGTTAGGGAAGTTAATGCGGTAAACCCCAACCGAAATTTTGGTACGCCAACATTTCATACCGTTTACCGAACTTAATATACAATTTCATTCGGTAGATAACCAAATTACATATATTTTATGTAAAAGTATTTAAAAGGAGGGGGTGGCTGTAATCACCCAAACAACATATTTTTTTCTCGTAATTTGTCCATACCTCAGAGGGTAACCGTAATTTGCCCCTCCCTCTATATATGGGTTGAGATTGTACAATCCAACATTTTTTCTTTTTTTGAGAAATACAATCCAACACTTTTAGATGACATGATTATAACACATTAATTCACATACATAATCCCATCCTACAAACCATCACATTTTAACCTAGGATTTGGAATAATCACACCATTTTCTTGAATCACATCTCAATTCAAAGATGACTTAATCAAGAACATTCTAACTTAGAAATAAAAGCATCAATACTTAGGTCAAAAGTGCCACCCTCGCTAACGGCCTCCTTAGCCAAAACCCTCCACCTAACAAAATTCATCTTCATCTCTTTCCCCTTCTCCCCTTCCATCACTTCCCTTACACAACTCTCAATCTCCTCTCTCCTCACAATACCATCTTCTTCTTCGGAAACCCTAACCCTAATCCCCACTCCCCAAACGTCTTGCACGAGCTTAGCATCCGTCGTTTGATCCGTCCACTACGGCATCACAACCATCGGCACACCCAAACTTAACGCCTCGGTCGTCGAATTCCAACCGCCATGCGAGAAGAAACAACCTACGGCTTCGTTCGACAGAACTTCCAGCTGCGGGCTCCAGTGCGCGAACAGTGCCCTTCCGGACGAGGCTCGGACGAAACCTTCTGGAAGCTTGTCTTCCTTGTCGGAAACCCTAATGACCCACAGGAAGTCGAAATCGGAGTTGTTCAAGCCCCATGCAATCTCTTCCATTTGTGCTTTGGGGAGATTGTCCATGCTGCCGAATGCTATGTAGACGACCAATTTTGGTGGTTTTGTGTTTAGCCAATCGAGGATTGTTTGCGAGGGGTCCGATTGGAAGAGGTTTACGTCGTATTTGTCGTCGTTTTCGATACGGTTGTCCAAATAGAAAGATGGGAGTGTTGGGCGCAATTGGTACTGTTAAATGTAACCGCAAAAATAGTTATTGTATTGTATAGTAAACATTTGCATATTTAATTTGCAATGAATTAAAAAAAAATACTGGTTAACGTATCGTCAGTTTTTTTAGTTGTCCTCTTATTTTGAATGTATTCTCTCCTCATCAATCGTGAATTTTTTGCATCAAAGACATCGTGTCAGGGCTAAATTAAAAAAAAAAAAACATATTGTAACCATTTAACCAATTAAATAGACTATATTATAAATGATACCATAATATTGTATAAATCATATAAGCTCTTTTTTGAAGTATATTTGTAGCATTGTACATATATTCTTTTTTTTCTTTCTTTGAGGCAACATCATTTATTTATAACTAATCATTAGATATATCCGTTGGAACACATCTCATTGGGGTTGGAGGAATATTCAAGTGCGTAAACAACCATTGTAATTGTTCATGCTTGGGGAATGTCCATCATTGTTATGATTCTACGTAAATAAATTTAAAAAAAAAGTATAATAAATAAATAAATAACATAATGCAAACGTGGTTAATGTACATACCTCATTCAATTCATAATATTCCCTCATTCAATTCATAATATTCCATAAAAGAAGCAATGATGGAATCATCAACACAAACTTTTTAAAGCGGTATCTTGAATGTGCCGGGTTGTCTACATTTTTATCAAATTACACAACCACAACCATGCATATGTTTTTATTGAAAAAAAACAAAAATCAAATTATGGGAAATGAGTTAAAAAATATGTACGTATGAACTTAAAAAAAAACAAATCACGACTGGAAATATGAATATTAATATGGCTATAATAAGATATAAAGATTTCAGAAAATATGAAAATAGTTATTAAAACATTGGATAATAAAAAAACACACAATTAATGTATTTAAATGAGAATATGAATAAATAAAATATTGCATTTTGTTATGCAATAAAAAATACCTACGGTGCGTACATGGAGTAATCGTTGATTGCAATAAATGAATTGCAATAAAAAAATTGTAATAACTACAATATCACATCTTCGAATCTTGTTCAACAGATCTCTTACACTTGATATTCGGACAACTATAATGCCACCACTTTGATTTTTTCACC